CGGTAAATTTCAGTCTGCAAAAACGCATTACCGCACCAGAAACTCTGGTATACGTTTCTACCTGGATTTGCTTTTTGGACAATAAGACTAAATCTAAGATCATAAGTCAGGACGCAGGGTGAAGTTTGAACTGACTTCGCGTTTGTGTGCTCGGGTGCGGTCAAGGACGGGCAAAGAAATTGCTCCCAAAATTTTGGCCGCGTAACTTTTGCAGCTAAATTATGCAAATAGGCAAGCACACACACACGCACACACACACACACACGCACACGCACACACGCACACACACATGATATCACTGCAATGTCGTATTGGCACGAATTGTTTATGCAAAAGGCATAAAAATTATATGACGATGCTAATTATTTTAATTTCCCCAGAAGAGGACTTCTTTTAAGGAGTCACCACAGCAGTGGCAGACGCATTCGTCTGCACTCGTAATGATATGCCTTTTTCCCAAACAAAAAGCATCTAGCAGCAAAGAAGCTATTCGTTAAATTGCTCGAGAAGCAAGCCAGTTGTCATAAGAACAAAAATATCGTTCGCGTGAAGCAACCCATATAAAAGGCCTTCAGCCGGTAAACACCTTATCACCAGGCCAGGAGACGCTGATGTTCACCACGTCAAAAACAAGACATCGGTGAGTAAGTGACATAAACAGTATGTGACAGTAGTGCAACAGCATGTAATGATCCCAGGAAACTGGAAAGTCCGCCGCCTGGCTTCTATATATTGCGCCGAGCGGCTGAACAGGAAAGACGAAAGCAGACAAGAAGAATGCAAGATTGAGTGAGTGAATACGATGGAACATCTGATAAAATCGTCCAAATAACGCCATTCCTCTGTCGCCTCCTTCCGCCAACTCCCGCTGACCGAAAGTGCCTCGCTCTAAACTGGATTTTTATATCATTTTTTATTTCAGAAATTGTGAGATGTCCCCTGGTTTGTTCGCTTTTTCCGAGCCCACTGGGATGCGCTCTGACAAAATGCTTAATATCCGATCGCTTCGAAGGTACTGGCAGAAACGCTGTTGGACGGCTGTGACCCAGACAAGAACAAAATTCTTCGCACTGGGAAAAAAATATGCCAGAAATAGAATTCAGGTGCGCTGAAAAAGCGAAACTGGTGTTAAATCGAAATGGGAGTACCATCAGCAGAAGGGTAAATGGAACGTGTAACGTGAAAACTAGCATATGTGCAAAATAAAGCCACAAAATAAAAGGAAGCGTCGCTTTGAACAGCCAATGCCAGAACTTTGCTGCTCGACTGCGTAGCACACGAGCACCGAGAAGGGCATAAATCTGTATCAGCCTGGGTGCTCCAGCCTGAAAAGCAAGCTGGCATCAATCATGCAGGGTTCTCGTACCGGTCCCGGCGACAGTCAGATTCATTACCTGGACAAGCTGCTTGCACTGCTAACACTCGGCACGGGCAGCGATGCATAAAGAGCTGACTCGGAAAACGCCGAACGGCCGCTACTCGAGGGGGGGGAAAGATAGCAGTCACAGCCAGAGAGAGACAGCCCGGATTGATGGTGCATGCGCACAGCAGCACATCAGTTCTGTCGGGCGCTCTCCACGCGTTTTTCGCGTAAGAGTGAGTTCACTTTACACCTGCACCCTTGCGTACAGCTTCAATGCGCAAGC